CTGGGGAGTGGAGACTGGGCTCCCAATTCCCAATAAATCACACGGCCGCTGGGGAATGGAGACTGGGCTCCCAATTCCCTGCAAGACCGGTGGAGAGACCTCGGTCCCATCTCCACCGGCCACCTGGGGTTCTTCCCAGTAACACTCCACAATATCTTCCCAGCTGAATGGGTCTGGATCTGGGTCTCCACTTCCCTGCTGAGCCTTCTCACTGGAGTGGAACAGATTTTGGTAACCCTGTTCCAGCTCCATCTCTCGGGTCACCAGGTGGACCAGGTCTTGCTCAATTTCGTGAGTGTCGTCCCAGTCATACCTGCTCTCCCTCCACTCAAAGAGATCACTGAACCGGGCTTGTGTAGGGCTCCCAAACTCAGGCTCTGCAAAAGTCTCCCATAACAAGCCAGGACCATCAAACTCCTCTCCCTCTGGCTTGTCATGCTCGGCTTTCCAGGGCAGGTATTGTGCCCCATACCACCAGAGCGCCTGGTAGGCATCTTCTAGCCACATCTCCTGCCATACTAGGTGTACCAATTTCCTCACCCATTCCTCCAGGGGCTGCTCTCCCAGTAAGGGCATCCGCAGGGCTACTCGCTTCTGCAACCGCTGGTCTTCCTTGGGGAATCTCTCACCCCGCTGGTACTCCGCAATACCCAGTGCCTGGTACCAGATGCCTTTACGGACTGCATCTCGGTCATCCATGGCACCCTCATCATACTCCATTGCTGGTTCCATCTCGGTGCTGTCAGGGTCGCTGTACTGGGACATGCGTTGCCCTCAAATTGTAAAAATCCATGGAATGGTGTCGCCTGTAGCTGTCCTGTAGTCTGTGGGAACGATCCCGTCGCTTGCCACCAATTGTAACGGACCGTTTTGCACAAAAGGGGTAAAAACCGCTTAGACGATAAGCCCCTTTCAGAGACAGGCACAGCTACTGTAGAATCACCAAAACTCACGAATTGAATTCAAGTGAATGCTCCAAACACCCGAACTGCATACAAGGGAATGCTCCAAACACTCGAACTGGAACCTCACGAATAGCTGCTAGCAGACGAACAGGAAAAGCACCCAAGCGGCTTACACTCCTGGCAATCAGTCTCTATCAGCATACAGTAAATCCCCCCAAGAACGAGACAAGGCTCCGTGTTGAGGGTCAAGCAGTGGTCTGTTTAATGGGGGCTACTCTGCCCAGTATTTATGCAGGTCTCCCACCTGGTGGACACTCCCCTAGGGGACCAAATGGGAGACTGTGACAAAGGACAGACAAGTAGACAAATAGGACACACAGTCACAGTATATTCCCACAATGCATCCTGGCTTCCTCCCCTCTGCCCTGGGAGATAATTGAGAAGTAATTCAATTATCTCCCAAGACAAAGGCAAAACTCCATTACACATGTGGGGACACAAAACCAGTATTATACTTTAAAATACATAAAGTAACATTTATTACATAAAACACAGACATGTAACATATCCCCAGATAGCTCAGGTCTGAGTGCACATTATTAGGTGAATGGCACTCAGACCACACGAATACAGTTTAATTGCCATGGAGCCAAAGTCTTTAATTACACGAATAGGCTCCATGGCATAGCTATCTGGGTTAAAACATTCCCCCAACACAAAATACCGAATTTACATACATTCGTTAAATTGGTACGAATTAGAACCAGGGGCTGGAGGCTCAGCGGTGCTTAGCTGACACAGTGTCCAGATTTGGCGTAGGAAAGCTGGGCAGAAAAGCGCTGGCTGCCCGGGGAGCTCCAGAACATCGCCATCGTGTGGCGGCTAGGTGTAACCGCGACCACCCAGTAACAGTCAATTAAGCTGCGGTTAACCGCGGCTTCAGGGAGGTAAATGGAGGGCACACGCCAGCTTCTGGGTGGCCAATTAATGGCGCCGGCCGACTTCCCACGGCTCTGGGGAGGCTGATAGAAGTCTGTTTGTTCGGTAGATAGAATCTACCGAACGGCTGTGCAGAAAGGAAGGAATAAATCTTTCTGCACAGTAAAATTAACCGTTTAACTGCCGGTCCATAATCCAAAGGCAGCAGACGAGCAACCAGGCTCCTCCAATGCAATGTGGCGAGATTGGTCTCATCACATTCTCCACTTATAAACTCCTTAACTCTTTTTTTTTTGTTTTTTTCTTTGTGCAGCGTTCTCTCTTTTTTTGTTCTTTTGTATCTGAATAAAGCCAACATGTTCATGATGAGCTAGATAGGATAGGAAGAGATTGTTCCAGTTTGCTAAACCTTTGGAAAAATTTTAATTTTCATATTGAGGGGGTGAGAGGGCCAATAGATCCTAAGTCCCAACTCATATCTACTGAGTATAAGTAACAGATATGTTGGCAGCCAGCATGTCCAAATGAAATGAGCTACCACTCAGTGTCATGCTGGATGTGCAGTCACAATGAAATACCCTGGAATATTTTATTATATATGCATGTAAAGCTATCAGGGTCTGATCATTTATGTGTCTTTAAAGTTTTACCATCTGTATATATCATCTGTGGGTATGTCAGCTGATAACATACTATGGGTACAGTCTATTAAATTCTGTGTATATGAGCGGAGGTCAGAGGCAGCTATGGGTCGGTCAGGGAAGTGGTTGTACAAGGAAGTGTGTTATAATTAAAAACTAAAAATGTGGCCAGATCGGAGTTGTGTATATTTCCTGATGCATCTTTTAATTGTATAATGGCTCTAGCAGTGAATTTCTTTAAGTGGTGGGCTAAAAGCAAATGTGTCTTGTTGGCCTTCCTTGTAACTGCCTTGTCCACACAGCTTTCACTGTGTTGGTGGAAAGAAGTGATTTTAAAAGTGCTCTCCGCTGAATTATGTTGGAGGTGTGTGGTGCCTGGTTGGAGCTTGATCAGTGATTTGAAATTACAGAGAGATTGCAGAGGGGCAATGATTTATTGTATGTGTTATTTCTTGTACCTCTGGTTTCTTGAAAAGCTAAATTAATTCATTTCCTTCACAAAACCAGAAGTTTGTCATTGTTTAACCATTAAATAATGTTTATTTTTTTATGACCAATGTATCTGCAGTTTCACTGTTTGGCGTCTTTGGAATTCAGTTAGTTGCCTCAAGCTACTTAGAAAAAAACCCACACATGTCAAAGTACTAATTGACAGACATCTTCAATACCTGACAAATTATGCTATTTGGCCGTCAACTTGATATAGCTCATCTTTACAGCTACACTTATAACTGGCATGTAATCCCTTCAAATTTAAATTCCATTTACCCATTTCCGTTTCTCTTCTTTTATTTAATCCAATGGCTCCATAAATATAAATAAAGCAAGGAGCAATAGTTAAAAATGTACCGGCAAGCTAATTCTGTATTTATTTTTAGATTAGCAGTACATGAAAAGGAAGATTAGAGTGTATTTTTAAGCACATGTAGGACCTACCTTAATATGGAATGTAATATGGAATGTCTCAAACTCAACTCAGTTCATTATTCACATGTAGCTGGGTTTGAGTTAACAATCCCTGGCCTTCATTGCTCAAAAGGTTAGCAGCCAGAAGAATAGTTAGCTCCTTCCTGACCTTTTCTATTTGTTTTATGAAAGGAGATGATTGGTGTTCAAAAAAGTTGTTAAAAAGAATTACTGGAATAAAATACGTTTGTCTTCATAAATCAATTCATTTGTTAGAAAGTTACTTAAATGGTCTTGTTTGTTCATACTTGTAAAGAAAAAACAAATATTAAAGGTATGTTTATGCTGTTATTTAGCCCTCGGTCAGACGCAACTGATCCAACAGGCACAGCCAATGTTTATTGCTTTGTCCTACCAAAGCGAGCGCGTGTTACCGCCCAGCCGCATCAGTAGCTTGTTGTTTTTACATTCTGCAGCAACCTATAATGCGCAGTACGCATTTGAACGTCGTGTGTGCGAGTCGGAGCACTTTGTGTCTCTTGGGCACATTGCGCCCGATTGCAGTATAACCATTATATGTCTATAATTACATTGGTAAGTATTTTTCTAATTAATCCAAGCATATTAATGCCATACCTGATTGTTTTTCAATGTTATAATGTTCAACTCCATAATGAGGCACGATGTTCCTCTCAGGCACATTGCGCCCGATGATGCTATTTTTGTTATTTCTTTGTAGATACGGCAATAAAATGGACAACTCAAAGAGAATTTTCCATTTCAATAATCCGAAGGATGTAGCAGATATGATAAAAATGCTAGAGGATGAATCAGATGATGAAAATATTTTTGAAGATTCAGCTGAAAGCGACAATAGCGTGACTGAAGATAACATGGAAGCACGCATTGAGAGTTCTGAATCAGAACAAAACGATGAAGAATTCAGCGATGACAACAGCACAGATAACGCTTCATATTTTCTTGGAAAAGACGAGTCTAGTAAATGGTATCAAGATATTCCCAACAAGAAAAATCGCACCGCGCCTCATAATTTGTTACCAGGTGTTATAGGCCCCGCAAAGTTATCAAAATCTCCAGTTGAATGTTGGAAATACTTTTTCACTGGAGATATTCTGGATATCATTATAAAATATACTAACCAATATATAAATATTATCAAAAATAAATATGGACGCGAACGAGACGCCAAACTTACTGATGACATTGAAATAAAAACGTTCATAGGTATATTATATTTGGCTGGAGCTTATAGAGCGAATCGTCAAAGCCTTGAAGAACTATGGGGAACCAATGGTGATGGAGTAGAAAAGTTTGGTATGGTGATGAACTTGAAACAATTTAAATTTTTGATGCGTTGTTTAAGATTTGATGATAGAAATACCTGAAATGAAAGAAAGCTTATTGATACACTTGCACCAATACGAGAAATTTTTAATGAATTTGTTAACAATTGTCAAAAATGTTACTCTTTGAGCTAACATTAGTTAAAATGCTCACAGGTTTTAGAGGAAGATGCGAATTTAAACAATACATTCCATCAAAACCATCAAAGCATGGTATCAAAATATACTCACTTGTTGACACTAAAATGTTTTATACCTATAATTTGGAAATTTATGCTGGGAAGCAACCCGATGGACCATTTGACATCAGCAATAAGCCAACAGATGTATTGAAGAGAATGATTGCACCATTACGTGGATCTGGTCGCAACCTGACAGCAGACAATTGGTTCACTGCCCCGGATTTAGTGGAAGAACTGAAAGAGATGAAACTTTCCTACGTTGGCACAGTAAAGAAAAACAAAAGAGAGCTGCCACCTGAATTTGTCACAACGAAATCTAGGGAAGTGTATTCAAGTAGCTTTGGATTCAATCGCAGTATTACATTAGTATCATACGTACCGAAGAAGAACAAAACTGTTATCCTTGTGTCCAGCTTTCATCACGATAAATCTCTTGATTCAGAAACAGGTGTGAAAAAGAAACCATCGATAATTACATTTTACAATTCCACAAAGGGAGGAGTAGACAATGTTGACAAAATTTGTGCTACATTTAGCGTCGCAAGGAATATAAAATGTTGTCCTATGAATATATTCTTCACCATGTTGAATGTTGCTGGCATAAATTCGCAGATAATTTATCTGGGAAATGATATGAAACCAATAAAGAGGCGTCTATTTCTGAAGCAGCTTTCTCACGAACTTACGTCAGATGAACTTCAAAGACGAAGTGAAAAAACAATCGGCATTCCGCTGCATATTCAATCAAAACTGAAACGATTTTGTAATTGTGAAAATGTAGAAGAAGATAAAGAGGAAACTTTGGAAACGCCTAGCAAGAGGAGAAGGTGCATTACATGCACTACGGATAACGTACAACGTCGCTTATCAAGATATGAGTGCAGCAAGTGTAAACGTGCATTATTTATTGTAACATGCTACTTTTTATTGTAATAAATGCTCAGAAATTGCTTTCGCCAATGTTGTAGAGCAAATGGAATAATAAACATGTTTTTATTTGAGTAAAAAGTTTGTTTTTGTAAATGTGGCCTATTACGCACAATGCGCCCAATCCTGTTCTTACTCACATTGCGCCTGACCGAGGGTTAAATCCTTATGTCCATATCAAATGTATACGAAAAGAGATTTTTGTTGGAAATTCAATTAGTCAACATATATTGTTTAGCATATACCTATTTAAAAAGCAACAGTTATGTTTATATAAAGAAGTATATTGAGTGTGCAAAGCATTTCTGATATGTGAAACATTTCACAATACTAATCCGAAATGGGAAAAGTTTGGCAGCTCATATGAAGATTTTAAAGATTGTAAAATTAAATTTGATTCACAGGCTAATGAATTTAGCTGTGTGACAAGGTCCCACAGAATAAGCAGACACCTGTAGTTGAGTCCAGTAATGAATCATAGGGTTGTGATCTGTGGGAATCAGCTGATATCTCAGTAAGTCTCCAAATGCCAGTGTGAATCTGATAAGGCAAGAGGGTGCTCTGAAGTAAACTGGGGGCTTTAAAGGACAAATGGACTAGGATAGGTATGGACATTTGTATAGTTAATGAGAGTTTCTACAAAAGAAAAAAAGAGACAGAAAAAATTGTGTGAAGGTTATGAACGTTAAAGGTGTTATGCAAAGCTGATTGAGTTGCAAATGTGGGGTGAATTCCTCATTCCTCATAATGCATGGTTTGGCCGCCACCATACTTTTCACATTCAATAATCTCAAGGCAGTGTCATGGCATGCATGTACCATTCTGCCAAATTTTACAGCCGTCATGCAGCAACCATCTTCCTGGAGACGCGCTAAGAAGACATAAATAATGGAATTCTGTCTTCCCATCTCCTCCGCTGGAATATCATTATTGGGAAAGGGTTAAATTAAATGTGGCAAAAAGCAGCTACAGCCAACGTTAAACTAATCTCTGGCAGATTAGGACATGTATGTCCCAGTATTTACCTAAGATTAGGAACCATCGCATAAACTCTTACACTAACCTTAACTCTTGCCCAAAAACTAATGCTCTAACAAACAAACCCAAGCCATAAAACCACTCATCATCGAGCTAGTGGTTGATGTCCCCATTCAAAATTCTTTATGGGATTATTTTCCCACAATACCTAGTTCACTCTTATGTATCACAACTCTTTCTATTAGAGCTGGGCAGTCATGTTGTCATGAAATGACAACCAAATTGAAAAATGTTGGCATAAAAGGCTTGAATCATTTTATCAACACTTTTTCCTCTACTTAAACTATCCACCATGACTGTTTAGTAAATAACCCTCTTTCTTCTGATATGATCAATATACCGTTGTGCTCAAAAGTTTGCATACCCTTGAAGAAATTGTGAAATTTTGACATTGATTTTGAAAATATGAAAGATCATGCAAAAAACAATTTTTTTTGAAGGATAGTGATCATATGAAGCTATTTATTCTCACATAGTTGTTTAGCTCCTTTTTAAATCATAATTATAAAAGAAATCACCCAAATGGCCCTGATCAAAAGTTTATGTACCTTTGAATGTTTGGCCTTGTTATAGACACATAAGGTGACACACAGGTTAAAATGGCAATTAAAGGTTAATTTCCTACATTTGCAATTAGTGTCTGTGTATAAATAGCCAATGAGTTTGCTAGCTCTCACGTAGATCCACTGAGCAGGCTAGATACTGAGCCAAGGAGAGCAGAAAACAACTGTCAAAAGACCTGCGTAACTAGGTAATGGAACTTTATAAAGATGTAAAAGAATATAAAAATATATCCAAATCCTTGAAAATGCCAGTCAGTACTGTTCAAATCACTTATAAAGAAGTGGAAAATTTGGGGACCTCTTGATACCAAGCAAAGGTCAGGTAGACCAAAAAATATTTCAGCTTCAACTGCCAGAAGAATTGTTCAGGATACAAATACAAACCCACAGGTAACTCTGGAGAAATACAGATTGCTCTGGAAAAAGACTGTGGGGTTGTTTCAAGGAGCACAATACAAAGATGCTTGAACAAAAATTAGCTGTATGGTCGGGTTGCCAGAAAGAAGCCTTTACTGTGCCAATGCCACAAAAAAGCCCGGTTACAAAATGCCCAACAACACATTGACATCACAACATCTGGTACACTTTTATTTGGAGTGAAGAGACCAATATAGAGCTTTATGGTCACAGCCATAAGCGCTATATTTGGAGAGAGGTCAACAAAGTCTATAGTGAAAATAATACCATCCCCATGTGAAGAATGGTGGTGGCTCACTGTTTTGGGGGGTGTGAGTTCTAAAAGCATGGGGAGTCCTGTGAAAATTGATGGCAAGATGAATGCAGCATGTTATCAGAAAATACTGGCAGACAATTTGCATTCTTCTGCACGAAGGCTGCACATGGGGTGCTCTTGAACTTGCCTGCATGACAATGACCCTAAGCACAAGGTCAAGTTGTCAAGTTGACCCTCCAGTGGTTACAGCAGAAAACGATGAAGGTTCTGGAGTGGCCATCACAGTCTCCTGACCTTAAATCATTGAGCCACTACGGGGAGATCTCAAACGTGCTGTTCGTCAAAGACGACTAAAGACTATGCATGACCTGGAGTCATTTTGCCAAGACCAGTGCCAATACCACCTGCAAGAATTGGGAGCCTCATAGACAACTATTGCAAAACACTGAGGAGTATGCAGACTTTTGAACAGGTGTCATTTTAGTATTTTCTTTGTTGCCATATTTTGTTTTATGATTGTGCCATTATGTTATAACCTACAGTTGAATATGAATCCCATAAGAAAAATATATGTGTTTTGCCTGCTCACTCACGTTTTCTTTAAAAATGGTACATATATCAACAATTCTCCAAGTGTATGCAAACTTTTGGGCACAACTGTATGGTTATAGACCTGCTTTGGTATAAATACTTGTACTTTATTATTTGTGGCAGGGTGAGCTGAAATTAAAGCCTTATGAAGTTTTAATCCAACTCTGGTAGAAACCAGAACATTTCATGTTGATCTCTATGGAAACCTTAATTTACCGGAACATAAACATATCCTTAAATGGGTTTCATATATTTATGTAGGAATTTCAACTTTGGAATACTGCAATGAAAACACCATTTAAGAGTTTCAAGTATAGTTGGATTAGTGTAGAATATCAAGCAGACAGTTTTAGACTTTGTGATCCTGAAAACCTCAGACTCTCTTATTAGAATAAAATACAGAATACTCAGGAATATTCAAATTATCTGAAACATTTATTATATTTGGCTAAACTATTTAACTTTATAATTAAAGCAGTCTTCGAAATTGAAAATTATGATTTTAATTATATACCTATCCTAAAATGCAGATATTCATGAAAAATGTCAACACTGCAAAATTATAGACATCCCTACATAAAGTGAAAAACATTTAGTTATAAGATGATATTTGAATAAATGTCTGGATAGGGACACAGATATTGGCAGTGTTATTTACGATTCTGTATCTTGGCTACAAATCATAAGATGAAAGCCTTCGATTAATTATTAGTCTTAAAACTCTTTTAGGGGAGTTGTAATGGAGAGGTGGATTTATTTCTTACAAGGTGGCGTTTTAATAGTTTTTCCTCTCAATGTTCAAATTGTCTGTGGTGGCACCATATCATCACTGCTGGAGAGACAGCAGTATCGTTATCACAGCCACTGTGTGTGATTCTAATAGTCGATATATATATAGTGCAATAGATATACGTATCCCCTGCACAGCTAAGATGATGCTGTTCCTCCTACACACGGCCACACTCCCCAAACCAAACGTCTCCTTATAAATCCCCTGCTGACAGCAGCGAATACACTCATACCAACAAAATGAAAGCAAAACACTGCCCCAACAATAAGGGATTGGTTTCAGAAAATAGAATCCGTGAGAGTGATGGAAGAACTTCGTTACTCTTTTACTAACATATATGCCTTATATACAAAAGTATGGGAACCATGGCTGACATTCATACAGAATAAACCAAGAGGTTAGAAACCCAGCATGAGGTCTGGCTCTCTCACCAATACGCTTTTCTTATTTGACACCGGAGAAACCGAGCCTTGGACGCAAAGGGAATGAAATAAAAGCAGTGTAGACCACTTACTCACTCTGAATAATAATACAGAAGGAAAATGGTTTGTTCAGAGACCACAATGCTTCCTCATCCACTATCTTCTGGGTTTTGGGGTTCTCAAACAATAAAACATACGGTATGCCACTAGATAGGGATTTCTTGATTTGTCCTTATACATATACATCACTTGGAGTATTGTACGCAGTACTGGAGACCATATCTCCAGAAGCATATTGATACTTTAGAGAGAATTCAGAGAAGGGTTACTAAACTGGTTCATGGATTGCAGGATAAAACTTACAAAGAAAGGTTAAAGGATCTTAACATGTATAGCTTGGAAGAAAGACGAGATGGGGGGATATGATAAAAACATTTAAATACATAAAGGGAATCAACACAGTAAAGGAGGAGACTATATTTAACCCCTTAAGGACACATGACATGTGTGACATGTCATGATTCCCTTTTATTCCAGAAGTTCCTTAAGGGGTTAAAAGAAGAAAAACTACCACAAATTAGAGGGACAAAGGTTTAAAAATAATATCCGGAAGTATTACTTTACTGAGAGGGTAGTGGATGCATGGAATAGCCTTCCAGCTGAAGTGGTAGAGGTTAACACAGTAAAGGAGCTTAAGCATGCGTGGGGTAGGCATATGGCTATCCTAGATATAAGATAAGGCCAGGGACTAAAGTATTTAGAAAATTGGGCAGACTAGATGGGCCAAATGGTTATCTACCATCACATTCTATGTTTCTATGTTTCTAGACTAACGCTTGCTATAGTTGATTCAATGCGAGTAACAATGTATCCTGGGCGCTGTTTTTCGCCATTATGTACATACCCCATATGTCGAAAATGTCGACAAT